GAGCTTAGTAGACACAGTAAGTGAGGTCGCAAACATATATACATAACATAGCATATCACATAGTATTTATGCAAATACTTTTCAATCAAAGTAAGGTAGTCATAAAAAATTTCGTAATTGTTGAGGTATACGTATTACGTCCTCACTCATTCTAGGAATTCCTAGGAGACTCTATACATGAATCCTAGGAAACTCTATCCTAGCTCCATGACTCGATACAGGATAATCCTAAGGATGCTGGAACTAGAGCTCTGATATCAACTGTGATGCCCCTAGGTTCACACAAGGCTGCAGTCCAAGGTGAATCCAATGATGTCAAACCTACCATGCACTCACATAGTACATTAACACGTTTCACCAATCATAGTAATATCCTCTAGTGGAATAAAAAAAATATAGGTACAAAACAGGCAAAAGAATATGATAGTAGTACAATGAACATGATGAATACAGAAGAGATAGCCAAATAATAATATCATGTCTCAAATGAACAAATTAAAGTATAACTGAAATGAAAACAAGTGTAATATGTCTCAATACATCGAGTCAAATGAAGTATCACTAAGGCACTCGGCCTTTACAAAAATAAAATACAAACTCTAATGTCTAAAAGAAAATACAAAACTATAGTGGAGCCTCTAAGGGTAAAATCATGTGACGACGACTATGCTAGAACTCCGTCATCCTGCGCTTTCCGAAACTTTGAGCTGCATGAAGAGAAATTTAAGATAAAAAAAGAAACAACATGAGCGTCAAAGCGCTACAGCAAGATCACCTCCATCCGCTCTTAGGGGAAGGGCTGCTAGATGAAGTGGATGTTCTACCTATTAAGCATAGTCTACCTAGATTATTTTCCTCGTATCTACCGAAATTAATATTTAGACACATATAGAGCGAGACGTACGTAGTACGTCAAGTAAAATCATCCAAACAAGGAAACTCTCATGTATATACCATATGTCTCAAATTGTAGATACCTAAATATTAACACCAAACTAAAGATAAACAATCTAAAGGAAATTAATAATAGAAACCCACAACACGAGACTGGTACGTCGAGCGAAATAATCTAAACAAAGAAACTCTCATATATATACTATGTGTCTCAAATTATAAATCGCTAATCATTGATCCCAACTAAGAAGTAAAGAGAAGCAATACATGGAAGTAAAACAACAACTTCAACCTTCACACATGGTGAGCTATGTCAAAACTTAGACTACCCTCGGGTAGTTGGCATAAACATAAGAAATATCATCTAGCATAATTATTCCTAGAAAACAGACCATATCAGTCAAACTTATTAAATAATGATACTCTTGTAAGATTCTCACAATATCATGTGGATTTAACATCCTTACTCAATCGTTCTGCGACAATAGGTTTTATCTCTCATATTCCAAATGATGCATCTAGATGATCGTACAGCAAAACGTAAGCGTATCAGCCCAACCCAAAAACACCCCGATCATCTTCGAGTATTGGTACCGCCGAGGTCTTATTACGGAAAAACATCCAAATACTCCTAGTGTGGTACAACCGAGGTCTCATTACGGGATAAACATCTACAACGAGCATCCACAACTGATGAATTATGTATTATGTGTGTTATTCCAATACTATCCACTTAAACATGTGTTAAGCATCTCAACTACTCGTGTGGGCTTAAACAAAACGTGTATTCAAACATTCGCGCATGTTTCTCGATGTGCGGATCCATAACTCATGTTCACGATCACCTTATGTGTAAAAATAAATGACAAACAATGTATTATAAAGCATATATATCTTTTATCTCGAGTCTAATTAACTCCCCACTTGTCATAATCCCTTTCAGGATACTCATACGTGTGCTACGATACTATTCATACATGTACATGACTGTACATGTGTCAAAATGCAGCTCGAACCACGTGATCATATCTTAAAACGACACAAACATAACCTAGAAACAAAATCTGGCATATGCCGGTCGATCGCCCGTAGGGCCCTGGTCTACCGGGCAGCGGACGTGAACCAGGTGCACAAACAGGAATCTGTTGGTCGACCACCCCTAGGGCACTGGTCGATCGGCCAGAGAGAAATCTGTTCTCTCAGGCTTTCGATATGCAGAATTTAAAATCCACATAGCTTGTATTTTATCATCATAAATTCTATGACATGATTAAAACTTGATTTTTCACATATAAGAAATTATCCCCATGATTATTTAAACTCTTGATTTAACCTAATCAAGTTTAACATCCCAAATAATCAAAAATCTCACATGAACCCTAGTTATCGACATAAAAATTATAAACATGCTTACATGAAACATAGAACAAATATAAATTTATTTATTCACGTTTACAGAACTTGCATATACCAAACCTAGGGTTTAATCATCCTTTATTAACATGTAAACTCATTGAATCCTTTATTCACGTTTACAGAACTTATATATACTTAGGTATACTCCTGGGTTCGATATAACAAAACCGACATGAAACAGAGACAAACCTGGCATCTGCACGCCCAACGGTCGACCAGACAGAAGATTGGCCTGCACGCAAGCTGGGGTTTGGTATTTTGGCCGTAACTTTCTCATCTAACATCGGAATAAGGTAATTTAAGATTTGTTAGAAATATATTGAAGATACCTACAACTTTTCTATTTTGAGTTTTCCAGATTCAAACTGTATCGGTGTGTAAAATATATATACTCTTAACTGGTCATTTTTTTCATATTTCTCTTCATGCATCTTTTGTGTATTTGTACTCATATATTCACAAATATACATTGAATTAATCTCAAATTAATTCCTATCATCTTCAAACATTAAAATATGTTATTTTTTACTATATAACATATTTATTATTATTTATCACAAAAAATTTAAATTTTTAGGGTTTTACATCCAACCTGGTACTAAGCTCCAAGATAGGCTCCAATGCCTTAGCTACTATTGGCCAACCATGGTTCTAGATGCTATGGTCTATTCTAAAAATTACCATGCATGTTAGTTCCATAGTGATTTTATCCATCAAGCACCGAGAATGTACATCCGACCGTTGCCTCATGGCCATTAGAGAATTAGGTGATGGATTTAATTGGTCCAATCAGTCCATCCTAAACAAAAGGGCATTAGTTTTATTCTGGCGATAATAGATTTTTTTCTCTCAATGGGCTAAAGTTGTGCCACTTAACGAGGTGAAGACTAACAACCTTGTGAACTTTCTCAGACATCATGTCATCTACCATTTTGGTGCACCCAAACTGATTATCCGTGACAATGGCCCTCAATTCACCAATCGTGGATTTGATCGGTTCCACAACAAGTGTTGAAATCAGAATGTCGCTTCTATAGCCAACAATCCGGCAACTAACAGATTAGCAGAAGTCTTTAACAAACTAGTCATCAGGATTCTCAAGAAGTTCATTTCCCGTAATAAACACGACTTGAATGAGAAATTGGGCGAATATCTATGTGTCAACCGTACAATGGTTATGACCCCAATAGGGAACACATCCTCTGCCCTAATCTATGGGTGCAAAGCTATCCTTCTGCTTGAAATTTGGATATCATAACTATGCACCACATTAGCTACTCAAATAATATGGGAAGACAACACCAAACTTTAACTCAAAGAGTTCAAGGCGCTAGATGAAAAATGGCTACATGCTCGGCAATGTATCAAGCTATTCAAAGCAGTATCTCGAAGGCTTTCAACAAGAAAGTCAAGAACTCGTCTTCCAAATAGGAGCCTAATCTTAATTAAGAATCATGTCTCTAATATGTTTGATATTTAACAAGTAATTATTACAACAATATCGAAGAAGCTATATATATTGACAAACCAGAGGTGATTTCTATACAATGATTCCATTTTAAATAGGAATGATAGTGGGACGTGTTGGCTCGTCCGTTGGGCTAGCCCGTGCAAGCCTAATGGAGGGGCTAGCTAGCTCATGCTTCACAATAGAACTAATAGGTCATCTTGGGCCACTTGTTTTTAGATGTAGAGTTCAATACAGCCTGCTTGCGGGGGTTGGGAACATGTGGGCCGAGCTATAGCACATGCTGACCCACTTGTCTCACTATGTTTTTGGTTTTTTTATTTTTTTTAATTTTGTAATAGTTTTCTTACTATCGTTTAACACTTAAAACTTAATTATTATAAGAAATGGAAAAAGTAACTTTATTAAGTAAAATTGTATATGCATACATTGGCGTAGGAAAATATAGCAAACATAAAGATTTAATATTGTTAGGAACAAATTCTACATCCACCCACAAGCAATAAATAGTTGTTCCGCTAGTTTATGAATTACAAAAACAAAAGAACTAGCAACAAAGTGTAACAAAGTATTTGCATAGTAAAAAAATACTTAATTTGGGTGGACCCATGGGAAGGGTTTAGTGAGCATGCACCACATTCAAGCCCAGCTCGCTCGCTGGACTTCGTGAATCAAGCGATTTGCTGGCCCGCATGAGTTAGGCTCCAATCTAGCTCGATCTCATAGCCTACTACTGTAATGAGACGAATTTGACTCAGTCTGGTAACGGGCCGAGTCGAATCGAGGCCAATCGAGGGTCAATTGCCCGCTCATGCGCCAAACCAGCCCAGTGCCCACCCCTAATTTTAAAGTTGGGCTGCAGGAAAAAAAAAAACTTCTTACAGGTGTTACTATCTCAACTGATGGTCTAGAAACTGCCATTAAGGGACCGCATCATCAAAAGTAAATAAAATTCCAACAAATGTCGTATATGGCCCCAACCACTTCTTGCAGAAAAAGACATTTTTGGATCTTACGACGGATTAAATATTAAATTACAGAATTAGCCTTCCCGTAGTAGCCGGTACTTCACCTAAGTCTTTCGAATATTATGGGGATAATTTGGCCTTCGATCGATATCAAGCCCAAACGTTGTAAATATCAATTTAGAAGTAGACATTTTTGTGAAAAACGAACCTAGAGAAGCGGTACTCGTACGTTATCTGCCTCGCAGAATCTCAGATTTTTTTTAATAGAATAATATTATTATAAAAATAAAAAATGAAAATAAAGATGATACTCTCTTTCGAAGTGAACGACGGAGCAGAAGAAGAACCCTAATTGGGTTTTCCTCATCCCGAGCTCCATCCGATGTAACTTCTGTAATATTCTTCTGTTCACTCTCTCCTTTGATCTCTCTTGTAATCAATTTGGGGGAATTTGTTTCGATTTCTTTTGCTTCTTGACGTCGATCAACTGATCATTTAAATTGGGCTTCTTTTCCACGAATTATCCAGTAATTTTCTTCATTTTTCCAGATTGTTTGCCTTCTGACATTGCGTGGTGATGATTCTTGAGATTTGGTGTGATTTAATTATTTGTATTCCGTTCGTTAGGTTCCATTTGTTTAAATTAAAAAATTTAATTTTTAACACCAAAGTAATTTGTTTCCCTTATTTCTTCTATGAATTTTTTTTTGCTTTTTTTTTTCAATTTTAGCTTTGGAATTTTTATCATTGAAAAGTCATCTCACTAGTGCTATTACTTCTTGTTGTGCATACTATGGATTTCACCAGTCATATCTAGTATTCAATAAATTGAACTCCAAACGGAGGTGTCAAAGTTCAGTCAATGAGGAAAAAGTTTCAACTCTATTTTGTTTGTCTTTGTAGTATATAGTGTAGGTAGATGATTTGTGAAATTAGATCTATTAAGAAAATAAATCTCTTGCTGTTCGCTGATCATTAAGGGGCAATCTCCTTTTCATATACAGACATCGTAGGATATTTGGAAAGTCCACGAAAAACTCTTATAAAAAATGAAGACAAAGGTTCTAAACTACGGTTTAGTTTTGCATTCGGTTGGAGATTGAGTAGAGTTTTCTTATATTTGTTAAAAAAATCGATTAATTAGTTGGATTATGTGGAATTACGTGGAATGGAATTTTTTATTACATATTATTCTTCATATATCAATATACAAAACTTCATGAAGAATAAAAATATACCAGGGAAAAAATATACCGTTAAAAAAAGTAAACACAGATTTATAGTACTTTAGTATTATGTTAAAAGTTTTGTTTAATCTTCCTCATCATCCTCATAGCAAAAACTATCGTCCAACTCTTCTTTGGAGTGAGCCTTAAAACATCGCTATTATTGTCCTCATTTAATCATCTCCATTAGACTATTCCTCCTCAATCACCTCATGAATTGCTGCACTAGAAGAGCCCTCATGTTCAATTCTTCCTCTTGCAGCATGCCACTGTGCCCTTTTGCTCCTATGTGGGTATTCATGGCCCCGCTAGCCTCTACAACAATTGCCCATGAAGCCCCACTATGTGCGAAGATCTCGTCTATTTCATGCTTCCTATCTTTACAAAATTGCCCATTTTTAACATTGCCCATCACAACCAGTGGAATTGGGGTAGTCAAACAAAGTATTTTAATTTCATCTTCCTCAAATGAGGCTCCTCTCCTTCATAAAGTTGTGTGAATACTAGAAAAAAAACCCTATAATTATGTTTGCACTTGGGTTGAGATATGTATCTTTGAAACATCCATTGTACTTTATTCACATTCCACCTTACATAATCTCTTTTGCTCTTTTATACTACTACAATCTTGTCCTGCACGTCAAATATCCCAGGATAGAAAACATCAACGCTCTGTATCTTGTTCTAAGCTGTTATATTTGTATAGTAGTAATAGGAATTCAAATAATATAATTCTAGTATCAGATCTCCCTGTTGCATGCTTCTCAATAATATCATTAAGTAGTCAATATACTTTTCTTTTCTGCTGCAAGCCAATTTTATTTCATTCTTGGCGGCATTGTGCAGCATGACATAAACAAAACTCATGGAAGGTCTCTAGTCTCTGTCGATTATCCTCATTATAGGTTGAAAAGAATACCAGAAATCTTGATGAACAGTTGTGTATCCTTCTAAAAAACGTCAAAATAGACTGTATACTTGGTAGTTAACTCTTTTTCTGTATTGGTTCATCTATTCTCTTTGCATCAGTTGAAGAGACCATATTAGCTAATTGCTGCATTTCCAAAAGATAGCTCAAGCTAAGAAAGAAAGTGGGGAATCTCATAATCCTTGAACCAAAGAGCTTCCTATAGTTAGTAATCTTGCAAATCAAAGCGAGAGCAATATGATACGAGTATTAGAACACTTAAGAGATTCCTCGTTTTCTTAGCTATGGTGTTGTAATTTGGAAGCTTCACTATATCCTCTTGCATAAGATCTATCACGTGTGCAAAGCCACTTGTCAGGAATATATTCCCCCAGTCTAATTTCAACAAGTTCTTCACAGCCATGTTAGAAACGTGATTCTAATTTCAACAAGTTCTTCATAGCCATATTAGAAGCGTGGTTATCAGTAACCACTTGTGCGACACAATGCTTTCCTATTTCTTTTATGCATTTCCACCCACTTGAGTATGTAAGTTGTTGTATATGGAAGCTCAGAAACTTTTAAGTCTTTAATGAACTTAATGAAAGTTGTGCTCTTCTTGCAGAGGATGCACAAATTCATCACCCTCTTGTGCCCTCTGCCTATGCATCAGTAAGGATGTTGCATCCATAATCGTTCCATCGCTCTTTCTACTTCTGCAAGCCATGATCAATGTTTGATGTGCTTGTGTAAAAAGAGGGTTCTGAAACTGATTTCGCCCATTGAATCCTGGCCCAGAAGCTTGTCTGCATACTCTGAAGCATGGATTCTCCCCCGGAGGCCACGAATCCGTGTCCGACTCGAATCGGACACGGATTCGTCACGACACGTGCACGACACGTGTCGGACACGGTCAATCCGTGTCGGACACAGGTCAACGGTCAAATTGACTCGGACACGGTCAAAGGAGCTCGGACACGGCTCGGAATCGCCGAAGGTCGATTCATTCAGGTTGCGGGTTTGGTTGTTAAAATCCAACTCGAACCATTCGATTAGAAAACCCATCCCTATTTCTCAAATCTCTCGTTCGATTCGATCCTTAGCCGACTCAAACGAAAGAAAAAAAGGAAAAGCCCATGGCTGTATTGTTTTGCTGATGATGAAGGCAATGAAGAAGTCATCAGACTAGCTTCTACTTCATTTTGAGATACTTTTTGTTTACAAACTTGTTATTTTGTGATAGATTCCTATTTTAGATTGTTAGTTGAATTTTATAAATATATATATATATATAATTTTAAAAAAAATCCTTGCCGTATCCCCGTATCCTATTTTTTTGGATTTTGATGTATCTCGTATCCGTGTCCGTGTTGTATCCATGTCCCGTATCCGTATCCGTGCATACACCCACATGCTCATTTTTCATAAGTCACCTTCATTTCCTCCTCTCACTCCCATTTCCTCATCTATCAATTTTCCCTCCTCGACCATTATGTCTAGTGAACTGAGGACACATGACTTCTTCGCCAATTTGAGACAGTTCTTGTGCTTCTGTCGCTCTTTCTTCTGAAAATGCGGACCTCTTGTCTCATTTTGTACTCGGTTTTTTTTCTAATCATCGAAGTTTTGTTGTAAATTCTTCTGTCCTCATCAAGGGCTAGAGTACAACCCTTTACTTCTCCTGAAAGTCAAAGGATGAGTTGTTAGAGTCAGTCAACTCCCTTTATAATCTTATGGCATTTCCTACATTGCACTTGACTGAGCATCCTTTGTGACAAGCTTTCTGTAATTCTGTCCGTGATCACAAGAACCAGGAGGCTTCTCTAGGATTTGCTCATCCCATGTTCTTTTTGGTCCCTCGCCCATGCTTGAATTGGAATTTGGAGGCCATTGATGATGACATGTAAATAAAAAAAATTGCACGTTAAACGCAGAAGCGACATTGATAGTCACAAAAGCAACATATGAAACTATCAGATTCCTCTTAGAATGCTACTTGTTGTATCAAATCGCAAAACTAACTGTTCCTAGTTGCAGGTGAAACCTTCCTCATAGTTGTAAATATAAACAGATATGACCCATCAAAGGGGAAAACATCTAAAGTTCAAAACTGATTTGAGGGATCGCATAAAACGATAGCAATATAATTTCACCAAATGAAACAAGAACACTTCCCCAAAAGATCGATTGCATAGTTCCCTGTTAAACATATTCAGTGTTTATATCCGGAAAGAAAATGCTCCAGTATCAAGTATTTGTACTGATCAACATTTCCAAACTCAAAAAGTACAATTTAGTTTCTATAGATGGGATGGTTTGACAGTTTATAATGTATGTATTGGCATTAATTTGCAAATATCAATGTCTTCAGGTCTCAATTCACCAAAAAATAAAAAATAAAAAAGCCAGCACTGTTTTAGTCTTGAACTTCCAAAGAGTCAGCCTTGAGGTTAAGGAAGAAGAAAGAAGTCTCTAGGATTAAGGACATGGCTTGGATATCATGTTACAAAAAACAAAAAAAAGCACTTGTTCCTTGCTCGTTGAAAGGGATAATATCCTTTATATGTACAAATTGTGGGATATCTATAGAAAAAACTATAATGAAGGAAGGTTCTACAAAAGGAAATTATTATGTTTGACAACATCCATCGGTTTTGGTTTTTTTTTTCTGTTCCATTTTTTTAGATTATTTGATATGCATGATACTTGACTGTTATTATTAATTTCATAATAATGCTATGTAACCTTCATAAGCATGTGATTTGTGTTACTTCTTCTTCTATTTTTTATATTATGCTACTTGATAGAAATATTTTGCGCTAGTGGTATGAACTTGATAGGATTTTGTCTTGCCATTTGTAATTTATGAATGCTGTGCTTAGATTACATGGGTAATGAACATTGCAGATTTCCGTTTCTCCACTTTGGATCTTAGGGGAGTAAGAAGAATTTTTTATGGGGTCGTTCTTGAGCTCTCCAAGCAGTAAAGCTCAAGCACGTGGGCACGGTGAACTTTCTCAGACAGAAGGCTGCAAGAGGCTGAGGATGTCATCAGCAAGCTATGATGATTTGAGCCCAAGATTGATCCCTTACCTCCCTGATGAGATCTCTGTGCAAATACTCGCTAGAGTACCAAGAGCTCACTATCTAAAACTGAAATCAGTATCCCGGAGATGGAAAGCTGCTATCACCAGCTCTGAAGTGTTTGACGTGAGAAAAGAACTCAAAACCACTGAAGAATGGCTGTACATATTAGCACATGCTGAAGAGTATAGGCTATGCTGGTATGCCTTGGACCCTCTGTCTGGAATATGGCAAAGGTTGCCCCCGATGCCTGATTTTGTCTCTAACGAAGAGTCTAAAAGGGTTTCTGGGTTACGGATGTTGAATGTGATGGGCTCCACTATAAGAATCGCGGATGTCATTAGAGGTTGGCTTGGACGGAGGGATGCACTTGATCGAATGCCCTTTTGTGGTTGTGCTATTGGAGCTGCTGATGGCTGTCTATATGTGTTGGGGGGATTTTCTCGGTCATCAGCGATGAGTTGTGTTTGGAGATATGATCCCATTTTGAATATGTGGCAGGAAGTGAGTTCCATGAAAACTGCTAGAGCATTCTGTAAGACGAGCCTCTTGAATGGAAAGCTTTATGTCGTGGGTGGTGTTAGCCGGGGAAGAGGTGGCTTAACTCCTCTCCAGTCTGCTGAAGTATTTGATCCAGAGACAGAACTTTGGGAACAGATGCCAAACATGCCATTTTCGAAAGCACAAATACTGCCTACTGCTTTCTTAGCTGAAATGTTGAAGCCTATCGCAACCGGAATGACGTCTTTTATGGGAAAGCTGTGTGTCCCTCAGAGTTTATATTCTTGGCCATTTTTTGTCGATGTTGGAGGAGAGATCTATGACCCAGAGGCTAACTCGTGGGTCGATATGCCGGCTGGCATGGGTGAGGGCTGGCCTGCGAAGCAGGCAGGAACGAAATTGAGTGTAGTGGTGAATGGTGAGTTATATGCATTAGATCCTTCTAGCTCTCTGGATAATAGCAATATAAAGATTTATGATCACCAAGATGACTCCTGGAAAGTTGTTATCGCCAAAGTGCCACTTCATGATTTCACTGATACAGAGTCTCCTTATTTGCTTGCTGGTTTTCTCGGCAAGCTCCATGTGATTGTAAAGGACTCTAATAGCGAGACCGCAGTGTTGGAAGCTGACATAAAGACTCGTCTATCAGAGGCTCCATCGACTTCAACTCCATCTACCTCGTCAGTTCCTACAGTATCTGTGGCTGAAACAGATATCTGGAAAGTGATAGCTACTAAAAATTTTGGTGCAGCAGAGCTAGTAAGTTGTCAGGTTCTTGATATTTAGATGGCATAATTAAAACAACCATATCTTCTGTGATGGTCTAAATTTGCTATTATGCATAGTGAGTTGCCTTTAATAATGTACAGTGATGGTTTTTTAAAATGTAGAACATGAAGCGATGCTGGAGGTTCCAAAGTCATAAAATATTTTTCTTGCATGATTGTATCCTTGTAGATGGCACCACAATCATTTAAATGTTCGTTTGTCTACCTATTCTGCATCAAAACGTCTTGACTGGCTCATTGTTTGTTTAGGGCTACTTACTGGTTCTTCAGATGGAAGTTGCATTTCTTTGTCGTATGAGAATGCTGCAGTCGATAATCTGTTTATATAGTTACTTCGATGTGAAAATTCTCAGAGAGACATCTCTGTGTTCTGATCTATTTTCTTATTATATGTTATTATTCATTTGCCAAGTGAACATTATGTTTTGCTTTAGCGTGCTTCTGTTGGCCTTTCCGGACTTACTTATGTGGGCGAGGTATTGATGCTTAGAAACGCACAATGCTGAGGAAATTTATCAGCTGTACGCAAATCCTTGTTCTGTTAGTTGGCTTTTTTATGTCTATCGGTTTGTTTGGCTCATGTTGTTTGAATATCTTGTATATATGTTCTTAATACGTGTGCATGGTCGGATTCACTGCTTATGGGTTTTTATCTGCTTTTATTTTTTACGAGTGCCTTTTGGCAGGCGTCGTCCCAAATAAATGACACACCCTTCTTGTTTAGCTTAGAGAAAGGTTGCCACTTCCCAGAGAGATTGGAGATGAACCGCCGAATGTAAGCTAAACGACCTTGCAATCCTCTGAGTTCTCTCAGATTCCTCGGGGGCAAAACGTAGGGTTACAGATGATGATGGTGGCGACGATGATGGTGATTAGCATAGTGTGTTCCCTCGAAGTATAAAATCACTCTTGTTAAACGCAGTTCAACGTGATTTATTATCTGGAATTCTTGCAAGTAAGGTCTCTGATATCAGTTTCCTATCTCCGCCTCATCGGGCTCACAGGCAGATTTTCTGCTGTAGCAAAATTGATGTGATTGATAACTTAATCTTGGGGGTCGACACGCATTGACCTGGCAGGCTCGGGGTGTCGATCACTGAGCTGTCCCCTCGGCATAACTTGATGGCTGTAGGAGATTGAGAAGACAGACTCTTTGATGGAAGTTGGCTTCTAGTAAGGTAGAGGGTTGGAGCTGGGTGAGCTCCGTCTGCACTCACACGCACACGTTGGAGGTTGGGGCTTGGGTCTTGGCCTAAAACTCGCTGACCTAAAACTTTCTAGGACTCAGGCGGACCAAAAACTTTCGATTCTCAAGTGAGTATTTTGGGGAAAATGAATGTCAATTGAAATACTTGATTTGAGCACATAGATCTTATCGTCAACAACTATGGAGAGCGTCTTATTTCGGAGAAAATTGGTTATTGCCGTGTTTGTTGTTCTACGGTTGGCTGTGAAGACAGTTTGTGGTTTTTTTACCAATTTTCCCCCACACATAACTAGGTGTGATGTACGCACGTTGCACATGGTTGAAATATTTTAATCGTTTCTTTGGATTTTATATATTCACTGTAAGTGCATCATGGGGAATAAATGTTTTATAGCTTGAGCTTGTTTTGTGAACTGAGAAAATGAGAAAGTCTATCAAAACGAAAAAATTAAATTTAGGAGAAAATACTATAAAGATTTTTTTTTTTTTTAGTATTTACATATAAAAGTATGTAAGTGTAAGAGTGAAATGAATAAAAACAATCTATCGAATCCATGTGAGTCAAGGATGATGATCGATTGACCAATTTCTTGTTGTTATTATATTCATCACCTTAATAAATTGTTTTAAACACCCATAGTTAGTCTAAACCTAACCATAATTAAGGATATTAAACAGTAAACATAACAGAGACACTAATGTCTATATATTTTTACAATTGGATACTAACATCAAAATACAAAGATTTGATGGACTGATATCAAAACACTAATGATTTTAAGGGATTGATATCAAACAAAACTCATATATGTATTAATATACTTATTAAGGTAGATAATTTATGAATAAACGGAATACATGTTTGCTCTTATTGCAAAAGTTATTTTGAAAATGATGATCATAAATGAGTTCTAAATTCTAATATTTTTCATTCTTGAGCTTGTTTCATCAAAATTCATGACATTTTTTGCCATTCAGGTTAACCCCATTTGACAAAATTTTGTAAAGTTCCAGGGTTCTTTTTGTAAATTAATGAAAATTTAGGGTTTTTTTTAAGTTTTTGGGTTATTTGTTCTATAATTTTTTTAAAAACATTTGTTTTACTAAATTAGGGAATTTTCTATAAAAATTTGAAATGTTTGTAGTTTTGAATTTTTCTGTAAATTTTATAAAATCTAAGTTTTTCTACAAATTTTATAAAATCTAGGATTTTTTGCAAATTTTTTAATATGTTTAAGTATTTTGGGTTTCAGTAAGTGCTGTAAACTTTTTCATAAAATTTAATATTTTAAAAGTCTTTTGGTTATTCCTACTAGTTTTCTAAGTTGTTTTTTTTGGTGCTGTTGTAAAATCATCAAATCTTGAAAATCCCTTAGGTACCGTTTGACAAAGGGTTAAGTGAAGGTTAATGAGACTTAACCCCTTCTTAACTCGCCAAACATAAAAAATCTATACAAGGTTTAAAGTGAGTTAACTCTTCATAATTTGCCAAACATAAAAAATATAGAAGGGTTAAGCTAACCCCTCTAGAAGGATTAAAATGAGTTAACCCCTCAAAATAAGAGGTTTACTAATACTCCTAATTAGAAGTATTAAGAGTTAACCCTTCTAATTATAAAGAAAATAGTTAAAATTATTGTTATTTCCAAACACTAAAACTGATCATAAGGGCTAAAAAAAACTTATTTAACGGGTTAATAATTTAATCCTTCATATTATTGAATGAGCTAAGTACATTAATTTTTCTCTTTAACTCCTCTTCCTTAGCCCTTTGCCAAATGGAGCCTTAGGTATTTCGACGAGTTAGGTAAGTTCTATGGATTTTGAATATTTTCTAGCTTGTTTAACGACACATAATTAACATTTATCGCCTTAAGTTTGAAGATAAGGTCAGAGGTGAGAATATTGTATAGTACATCTAATTATCTTCATCTTTGTTTTTAATTTTAAATATAAGGAAACAGATGATAAGATTAGAGTTCTACTTTTTTTTACTTGTTAGGTACAAAATTTAAATGTTTAGATGGTGGAAATTTTAGATCTTTATATATTTTCTCTAATAAATAATTTTTTAAGTTTTAAAATTTTCTATATTTAAATATCTTGTGAAATAGTTGAACGTGAAGATTTAATAATTAATATAGCTTGTATTTTATTAAAGATAATGCAATTCGGTAGAACATGATCACAATGAAATCATATTAAGGATATTTCTATTAAATATGATAATTTGAAATATAAGGAATTCTTTTTTATTTTTTTGAAAATTTTGTAAAATACAAGGATTTTTCTAAAGATTTATTTTGAGTGAAAGTACCCTAGAGGGAGGGGGGGGTGAATAGGGTAATTTGCTAATCTAATCGAATATTGATGCCAAATTAAAACTTATTAACTAATATCCTAGAAAATATGATATGCAACAAGTTATATGCAAGGATGTGTAAGGATTGAACAATATGACAATAGGCGATATAGAAATATACACAAAAATAAGTGCGCTAAAGTCAAACACAAACACAAAAATATGATTACGGAGTTCGTTCACCCTCGACCTATGTCTCCGCTCTTCTCCCTCGAGGAGGTTCTCCACTAATCACAAAATCAACTACACAAATAGTTTTCAACACTTACCGATAAACGTTTACAACTCACATAATTATCAATACGCAATACACTCCTCTAAGTGTTGGCCTAGCCCATGTCACCTTCCTCAAGTGCTCAGAATTACTATCTCTCCCTGGGATTTACAACCGACGTCACTCCTCTTAGAATTGATCCCGTCTCTCACCAACCACTTCTATAAGTGTCATTGTGTATTACAATGTGTTTTCTAAACAATAAGGCTCAAATACAAATGATTTGTTCTCTAACAAGAATAAGAACGAAATTAAGCTCACACTCAAGAATCACTCACCACAACCCAAATATACTTAATGTGAAATACTAAAAGCTTAATAGGTTGTGTGTGCAATCAAGGAGTAAAATGAAATATATAACTCAATTTAAAATCTAGCTTATAGAAATAATAATCAAAATATAAATTGCTAGAGATTGAATTTAGTAAAACTTCTCTGAAAATAAGAAAGATAGAGATATAAAAATTGATGCTCAAAACCAAAATGATCTCCTCCTCTTGTGAAACTCTCGTCACATAAACAACACACTTAATTTTTCTTAAAAACTCTTAAACAAAACTTACAAACTTGTTTTTAAATTTCTCTTAGTTAGTTCAATATGATAAGGCTAAGAGGTATATATAGGCTCTCAAAACAAAACCCCAAAACCAAAGAAAAATCCCCAAACCAACAAAATCCATGTAATTCAGGAAACTGGAAACTAGCCGTTACAGTAGCTGTCAGTCGACTGATGGTACTGTTCAGTCGACTGATGAGCTGACCGTTGGCTACCGCTCAAAGCCTGTCGGCCGACAGATACACCATCAGTCGACTGAAGAGCTGCTTCGATCGACTGATGAGAATTAGTCGACTAAACAGAAACAAATAGCAATTCCAACAGGTTTCTTCAGTCGACTGATGACCTTCGTCAGTCGACTGAAAACATGCACATGGACTAGTTTGAATAATAAATTTGATTTTTGAAGAGCTTTTAAAAATAGCAAATAAATTCCAAAAATTATAAAATTTAGGTAAATATTTATAAACATGAAAATAGACATGTTACAAAAGAAAATTTTGAAATATCATTCCCCATTTGTGAAAACTCGTCATTTTACAAAATCGGTCAAAATACGAAACCTTAAAACACTTGATTTTGGACAAAATGATTTCAAACAAGTTTGAAACTTCTTTTGATTGAATTAATGGACTTTATAAAAGATGTACAACAGTTATATTAAGTCTTTAATCCAAAGCATATTATTTTGCAAATCGGTAAAACACACAAACTTGTTAAAACTTGATTTTTTGATGAAATCAATCCAAACAAGTATTTTAAAACACTTTTCAATAAACTAATAGACTTGAGGAAAGATATAAAATA